ACCCTAAATTTCTACGCTACTTCTGTCCCATCAATAATGCCTTTCTTCAAAAAGAAGTTGCTTTTAGTTATATAACTCTTGGGTATGATATATATCACACTTTCAAAATCTAAAGAGCTACTGGTCTCTTTTTCTAAAGAAATATAAATTAAACATAATTCAAGGTACCTTACATTGTTTTTAAGTTAATAAAATCAAATATCAGTGTTTGTTTGTAATAGCACTGGAGACTGTCAGGACACATAAATTGCTGATGGTGTTATAAATTAATTCAGCCTTTCCAGACAGCAGTTTGGTACTGAAGCCATATCCTGAAGTCAGTGAACCCACTTTAGTGATAAAAGTCCAAGAAAATAATCCAAAAAACATTTTTGAACATGGATGCTCAGAAGTACCATTTTTAATAGTAAAAAGGAGAAAAAAATCAAAATAAAAAAGAATGCACAAACTACAGTTATCAATGCATAGGATACTATTAAGTAAATATAAAATAGTTGCTGCTATGCGAGAATACAAAAATAGCCTGGATAGTCTTGCTCAGTGGTTGAGCATTGACCTATGAACCAGGAGGTCACAGTTCAATTCCAGGTCAGGGCACATGCCCAGGTGTTGATATCTCTCTCTCCCTCTCCCTTCTCTGAAATCAATAAAAAAATATTTTTTTAAAAAGAATATAAAAATATTCTGTATGTACTGATTAGAACTATAAAAAAAAGCTATGCCTCTACAATGACACAAATGGATATGAATTTAGAGTAAGGTTTAACATTTAATGGATTCTCTTTTCTACAAAGAATATATTAAGGCAAATTTTTTTTTTAATATATTTTATTGATTTTTTTTACAGAGAGGAAGGGAGAGAGATAGACAGTCAGAAACATCGATGAGAGAGAAACATCGATCAGCTGCCTCCTGCACATCTCCCACTGGGGATGTGCCCGCAACCCAGGTACATGCCCCCGACCGGAATCGAACCCGGGACCTTTCAGTCCGCAGGCCGACGCTCTATCCACCGAGCCAAAACGGTTTCGGCTATTAAGGCAAATTTTAACGTTGGGTTATTGTAGGTTTACTGGTCAGTTTTATTAAGTTAGAGTTATAGCTATTTTTGTTGTACTTAGACTCCCTGAAAAAAAGATTTCTTAAAAAAAAACAAAAAACATTTCTTCAGTTTTGGCATTTGAGGACATTTATTAGTTACTGAACTAGAAATAAAAGACAAGATTCTGAATTTGGCCAGCTTCCTGCTTATACCTCAAACTTCACTTCACCTGTATCTCATTTTTTCCACATGAAGGTGGAGAAAAATAATGCAACAATGATTACAAATAGACTCTAAGCACCTCCAATAAAAGGTGTTGGGCAAATACAAATATCAGAGCTGCTTAAAAAAACCACCACCCACACTGTCTTACACAAGTCTCTTTATCTTTCTGAGCCTCAATGTCTCCCCCTGTAAATTGACAGAAATGTTAGGATCATGTGGGGAGGGGGTGCATATTCTGATGAAGATCCAGTGAGTCCCATTCACATTTGGGGGAGAGAGGATAAGTTAATACAACCCCTTAGAAGGGGTGATTTGGCTATATGCCTAAAAATTCTAAATGCACATGAATTGCCCTGGCCTGTGTGGCTCAGTTGGTTGGGCGTTGTCCCAAGCACCAAAAGGCTGCTGGTTTGATTTCAGGTCGGGACACAGGCCAGATTTGTAGGTTTGATCCCCAAGCGGGGAGTGTTCCCTAATAGGGGTCATGCAAGAGGCAGCCGTTGGATGTACTACCCTCCCTTTGATGTTTCTCTCTCTCTCTCTTTCTCCCCCTCTCCCTTCCTCTCTCTTAAAAAGTCAACAAAATTTCTTTTTTAAAAAATGCACATGTATCCTTTGAGCTAGTAATTCCACTCTCAGAAATATATTGTTCACATAATTTTATACATGAGCACATAAAGTATGTATAAGGACATTCATTGTATCAGTTTTACAGAAACTGTAATACAGAAAAACTGTTTTACAGAAAAACGTGGAAACAACTTACATAGGGGAAGAGTATGGGTAAGCAGACACATGTTTATAAAGGAACAGTGTCTATGTAAGGCCACAAAACTGGAAACTTCAGCCATCTCTGGGGAAGTCAGGGTATGAGGGAGACTTATTTTTCTCTATGCCCTCTTGTATACTGTTGGAATTTTTTCTTATATGTATTTATTATCTTAAAACTGAGCAGGATTCTCTATAGGCCTCATCTGAGTCTAAAAGGCTGTGATTCTGCGTCTGTGGAGCCTGGCCATTGCAGGGGTAACAACACCTGGCCCCACAATACCCCAAATGACCTTTCTAAAGCCCAGTCAGCCCAAGTCCCTGACTTCTTTTAAATTCTCCAGTGGCTTTCCTCTGGCCAAACTTTAACACAGCACATATAGCCCTCAAGCTCACCCTACTCTCATCTTCCACCCTTCTTCCTATCCAGTCCAACTATGTTTAACCCCTCCAGACTCCCCAAGGACAGTGGGTTCCTTCCACCTCCAAACCCACTTGTGCTGTTCCCTCTTTCCTGTATCCTGTCCACCATACACAAACTCCTATGCATCCTTCATGACCAAAGGGCCCCTCTCAGTAAAGCTTTCTTGAACCACCTACGGAGGCAATGCCTTCTACACAGCCTGGCAGATGCTCTGGAACTAGACTGCCAAGATCAAATTCTGCTTATTCTCTCATCTGCCCACTGTATAGTCTCAGTTTCCACCCTTGTCAAATAGGAATAAGCCCCTACATGACTGTTGAAAGCATTAAATAATTCATGGAAATTTATTACATAGCTTGTCACAAAGCAAATAAAAGGAAATAGTTGTTATTATTACACTTTCATACCACCTGTGATGTATTTGTATTCATCTGTCCTGCATTAGACTCTGAGCTCCTCAAAGGTTAAGACTGGATCTCCTGCCCAGCTGGCGCAGCTCAGTGGTTGAGCATCGACCTATGAATCAGGAGTTCTCGGTTCAATTCCCGGTCAGGGCACATGCCCGGGTTGCAGGCTCGATCCCCGTGTGGGGCGTGCAAGAGGCGGCCGATCAATGATTCTCTCATCACTGATGTTTCTCTCTCTCTCTCCCTCTTCCTTCCTCTCTGAAATCAATAAAAATATATTTTTTAAAAAAAAATTGGATCTCCTCACTTTTAATTTGTATCCCAAGCACTTCCCCTAACAAATAGAAGGCACATGAATGTACTTAGGTCAGAGGATTGGCTTTTCTGGTTCTGAATTTCACCCAGATGGTAAATAAGCAGCTAAAAGGTCCCAGTAAACAGCCTCCTGGATCCCGTATGCCTAGGAGTAGCGGTTGCCAACCGGTGGTCCGAAAGGTTGGCGACCGCTGCCTTAGAGTGCACGTATCAGGCAGACCACTTCAGGAAGGCAGAGGTGAAGACTCCGTGAGGCTTTCGGCCTTTCAGAGACAGTCAAGCAAGCCTGGATGCCAGTGGGGTATGAGACCTGACAGCTCCTGCCTGCTAACTACTAATGGGGGGGTGGGGGGAGCTGACTGGGATGAAAATGGGAAGATGGAGAATCAGAGATCCCAAAAGTCCTAGGCAGGCACTCCAAGAAAGCCTTCAGGAAACAGTCAACAAAGATTCTTTTGGGAAGTGAGTGCCTGGAAGTAAACAGAGCCAAGATATAAGGGGAAAGAGATGGGACAGGACCTACAAGCCAATTGAGAGGAAAATCCTCTGAGCATGGGAGATGAAAAGGTGCACGCGGCACGGCTCCTGCCCTCACGAAGCTGCTCCAGTGAAAAGGACTTTAAAGGAAAAGACCGAGCTGACCAGGTGGGTAAAAGCAAGAGGCTCACACGAGCATCGGCACCCAGACACGTGAAAAGGCGGACGAGCAGCTCTGAACGGCTAGGGAGGGGGCTCTGGGGAAGGCGCATCCGAGAATCCAGCTAAGACTAAAAGAATACGCGGAGGCCACGCTGCCGAGGGCCTTGTATGACTTGATAAGACATTTCAGGCTGCGCTCATCCCACGGGAAAAGGAGAGTGGGGGAATTTCTAAGTAAACAAGTGACAGCATCAGCTCTGTGTTTTTTGAAGGAGTGGCCAGGCAGGAAGATGTTCGCCCATGTTCCCTGTCACGCCTCTCCCCGCCCACCATCTTCTGGTTCCCCGGCTGCCTCCAGAGCAAGCAGGTGGCAAATGAGGGGACCTCTGCGGAGATGTGACGGTTCTAGAGCAGGAATCCCCACCCTACCCCGGGCAAAGGCTCCTGAAGGCATTCGCCCTGCCCAGGGAGGTTCGGAACGTTCTTTTCCTGCCTTACAAACAACCTGACCTCAAACACACACACACACAATCCCTTCCACATTGGGCTCAGCTCTGACATTATTATTTTTATCTTCAGGAAATACAACTAGGACCTAATTTAAAAACAACAACACGATCTTCTCTATTTTATTCTACCAAAAGTCAACAGGGAGGGGGGAATCTGCATTCCCAATTGGCTTATTCTGAATTCTGGGCAGCTCTGAGCCCCAATTCCCCTTCCTCGGCGGCCTCAACAGTTGGGATGGGCCGAATAAAGGGAGGCCCGGGAGAGGGGCCTGGGGGCCTTTCGGGGGAAGAAAAGTTGGTCTCTGCAAGAGCAAATTTTCTCATGCGCGGAGTTTCCCTCTTTTAAATGGACCTGAGCAAATTCTGCTCTCGCCGTTCCAAGTTTCTTCTTTCAGAATAAACTATGGCAGCCCTGGTCCGCACGCAAAGTTCCTGGGCGCTCGACAGGGTCAGCGTCCTGTCCCGCACGTTTCCGGGGACCCCCCGCCCTCGCCCCCGGACAGCGCGAGGATGTGAGAGCCGACTGGGTTCTAGACACCCGAAGGGTTCTTCCCGGATAAAAAGGGGTTGGGGCTCCGCCAGCGACCCCTCCCACCCGTGCCCCGGAGCCAGCCTTTCCCCGCCCCGCCACTTCCAAAGCCGCCGGAGCTGTGGCGGCCGCGAGCACTCACCGAGTCCGGCGCTGGGCGGGACCGCTGGGGACGAGGACCGCGGCTCCGCCTCGGCTGCGCGGCGGCGTCTCGGCCCGCCACACGCCTTCAGGGCCGCCGCCCGGCCCGCGGCTTGGAGCCCCGCGGCGGCGGCGGCGGCCTCGCCTCCATGGCGAGGAGAAGTGGCTGAGGGGCGACTAGGGCGGGCGGCGGTGATAGCTGCAGGGGCCCGGGGTCCGAGCTGGATCGCGCGCGCGCGTCTCTGTCAGCGCCGCACTCCCCGCGGCCTCGCTCCCGAGCCGGCCTCGGCTGTAAGGCGCCTCCTTATTGGCCATTCAGAGGCGGGCGCTGATTGGTCCGCGCCGAAAGGGCGTCTCCCGGCCTCCCGGGTCCCGCCCGCGTGCGCCTCCGAGCGCCTGCTCACTGCCGCGGACGCAGAGCTGGTTCTGTCTCGCGCACCGCGCTGGAGGTGTGCGCCCATCGAAGCCCGGCCACCGGTGCACCCACGCCTTCCGCCTCTCTACAGTCTCAGCCCCTTAGACGTGGGCCTTCTTCCCGGTGTTCAGATGCGAAAACTGAGGCCAGATACAAGTTACACCAAAGTCTAGCGACAAGGGCGGCCTGGGACTCAAATGCCGTCTTTCCACTCCTCTTTCCAACCGTGTTCCATCCGGATTTTTTGTTTCCTAATTGCTGCAAGGTATTTAAAGGAAGAAGCCTCTCACTGGGGAGAGAGAGGAACCTGCAGAGCCCCTAGAACGGGTCTGGCACTGTGGGTGTCGTCTTACATCAAGTCGGCCCACGCCATCCCCACCCGAGCCCCAGGGAAATAGCCTTCGCTTTCCAGATGCACATACCGGGGCCTGGCTCGCCACGGAGCCGGGTAGAAACCCAACACAGGGTGCTCTGCGGTGGGGTGTTGTTTCCGATAGGCCTGGCGGGGGAGAGGAGGGAGGTTCAAAGCGTAGGGAGGACCTAAAGATGCGTCCCCGTCGTCCCCCCGCCGCCCCCCCCCCCCCGGGCTGGGACCGGGTTGGGGGCTCGTAGCTCCTCGCCAGTGCTCCCTGTCTCAGTGTGGCGCCCCAAAGCCGGCCGGCCGTTTGTCCAGTAGGAGCGGGCTCCCAGGCTGCAGGCCGTGGGCGTCAGGGGCTAAAGGCCAATTGGAGTCGTGGTGGGTGGGGGGTGAGACCATTCGGCGTCCCTCCGACACACCGGGACCCACACCGGGAGAGTGGAGACAGATGGCACAGCAGTGTGCGAGCAGAGCGTGGCAATGACCCTTCACCCGAGACCAGGAGTCTGCGCGACTAGGGGTGGGATGCAGCGGCCCTTTCCTCCTGGACCCTGAACCCTCTCTCCCACCGCCTGTCCCGTGGTTCGTTCCGCGCGCCCCTGGGAAAGCGTCTGCGGCCAGTGTCAGTTCTTCCTGGCGGGGCGAGTGCGGTGGGGACATTTTGGTGCAGGAGAAGGAGGCCACATCAGTTGCCATTTTCACGGGGTTGGTGCCCCTACTATGTTCAGTCCCCACCACCACCACCAGCAGTTGGGGCGCCGACTTAAAATTCTATGCACCCCCTCCCCGGTATTTGTGAAATAAGTGAATGTATGCCGACCAGAGCTACGGCCTACAAATATGGGATGCAGTGGGCCTCCTTCGGGCCACCCCCTCCCCAGTAGAAAAGTCCCTTCTCGAGTGGGAGATGTGTTTCTCACTCCCTCTTGGCAGCGCTTGCCCAGAAGTAGTGTGAAATGGCCAAACCCAAGGCGCCCCTGTGGGACAGACACTTCAGCTCTAAGGCCCCCAGGCCACAAGCCCAATCTCCTGTTAGACCCAAAGAGGACAGGTTCTTTCATATGCCCACTGTTCATGTTTCCCAGGAAGTCCGACCTCAGTATCTGCACACTAATGGAAGTGAAAAGTCTGCATTCAGAGTGTTTAGAAATCCTGAAAAACAATGACTGTGAATGTAGGAAGCACCTGGGTAACTAGAATAGCAGCACCCCAGGACACACCTGACCAGTGTGGTTTTACTTCATCTACATCTGAGCTACACTAATATTTCTTTAATACATTTCGTTTGGTTCATTTATATTTTTACTTACATTACCATAAAATTTTTGACATGCTATTTATATTTTCTTACATTAAAATAGCTTTTTTTTTGTTTGTTAATCCTCTCCCAAGGATATTTTTCTATTGATTTTTAGAGAGTGGAAGGGACAGAGGCAGAGAAAGAGAGACACATCAATTGGTTGCGTCAAGCCTAAAACCAAGGTACGTGCCCTTGACTGAATGGAACCCGAAGTCCTTCAGTCCATGGGCCGACACTATCCACTGAGCCAAAAAGGCTAGGGCGAAGTAGTTAGTTTTGTTTCTTTAAGATCCTTTAAAAAAGGATCCCCAGCCTGACTGAGCACACTTGGGAAAATGCTTCAACTGGGTGTGGGAGAGAACCCTGGGGTTTAAGCCTCTGCATTGGCTAGACGACCTGAATCTCCTTCTGCTGCTCTTCCTGGAACCTCCCAGGACTGTACTGAGAATTGCAGGCATGTACAGTTTGGCAAGTAACCCTTTCTCAGTAAATGCAGTTTCTTCTCTCCATGAGACAGCTGCACTGTGGTCAGACCATTTGTGGTGTGTGTGCAGGGGTGACAGAACCTCAGACCAAAAAGAGACAGGGTCTTGGGTAGCTCATTCCAGAGACCTGGAGGAGAGTTCAGCTTGGCAACCACACATACCCTGTTTCCAGTGGAAGAGGACAGAGTCCCATCCTCAGCTGCCCACCTGTGGAGACCAGCCCAGCCTCCCCATCCTATCTGACCCTGGGGTGTACACAGCTTCCCCCCCATCACCACAGGACAAAGGGCTGTCTTCAAAGAGGAGAGAAGACCTGAGATAAGGAGGGGAGACAGGCTTCCTGTATCAAGCCCGACCAAGTGGGAGGCCAAACCCTTTCTCCCAGTCCTACTTGTCTTACCACACAGGAGCAGATACCTACAGATAAGTGCCCCAAGAGTCTCAGGGGTCATCAGAAAAAAACTACACGAGGAGAGCTGGAGGATGGGGTAAAGCAGTGGTCGCCAACCGGTGGTCTGTGGACCACTGCTGGTCCGTGAGGTCCGAAAGGTTGGCGACCGCTGGGGTAAAGAACTGTTTCTGCAGACAAGCCACTTCCTCTCTCAGAGCCTCCTTTCCCCATGTAGTAAATGGAACAATGCGTCATTTACTCACAAATACTTATTGAGTGCAGACTATGTGCTGGACACAGCAGGGAATGAGACAGAAAAGGTCTCTACTCTCATGAACCGTTCTGGATGGGGTGACAGACAATTAACAAGTGAATAAGAAAACTTCTTAAATGCTGTAATAAAAACAAAGCAAGGCAATACGATAGAAGGTTGAAGTGAGAGCCCGGTGCCTTTCCAGGCCACTGTTCTATTCCCAAGGGTCATTTGCCAGCACTGAACCTAACAGAGTGCAGCCCCCTCTCCTGAGAAGGTGCCCGGTAGGAGTCTTTGCTCTGATTCTCACTCCAGGGTTGCCATTAATATCCTAAACTAGAAGAAATGTTTCCAAATTCTCTGCCCCTAGCTCTGAAATCCTGGCCCCAGGCCCAATGCTAGTCCTATCCATTGGCCAAGAGTTGGCCCCACCCAGACTGTAGGCCCAGGCCTGCCATGCAAATTTCTCAGGGTAGAAGTTTTTTTGTTTTTAAAAAAATATATTTTTATTTATTTCAGAGAAGAAGAGATAGAAACATTAATGATGAGAGGGAATCATTGATTGGCTGCCTCCTGCATGTTGGACCAAGCCCCCAACCCAGGCATGTGCCACTGACTGGAATCGAACTTGGGGCTCTTCGGCCCGCAGGCTGACACTCTATCTACTGAGCCAAACCGGCTAGGGTGGTAGAAGGCACTTTACACAAATTTATAAATTGATCAGTGGAGGATTTGAAGAAAAAAAAAATCCTGGTTGTTTTTAAGATGTCACTATAGGTATATATGTGCATTTGTCAAAACTCAGCAAATGTACACTTAAGATCTGAACATTTTATATATAGACTAGAGGCCTGGTACATAAAATCTGTGCACAGGGGTGGTGGTGGTGTACCTCAGCCCAGCCTGCACCCTCTCCAATCTGGGACCCCTTGGGGGATGTCTGACTGCCTCTCACAATCCAGGACCACTGGCTCCTAACCACTTGCCTGCCTGCCTGCTTGCCCCTAACCCCTCTGCCTGATCACCCCTAACCACCTCTGCCTGCCTGCCTGATTGCCCCTAACTGCTCCCCTACCAGCCTGGTCATCCCTAACTACACCCCTGCTGGCCTGATTGCCTCTAACCACCTCTGCCTCGCCCTGCACCCAGGACCCAGGATTCCCTCCTCCAGCCGGTCGCAGGTACCCAGGACCAGGGCTTCCCTCCCTCTGGCTGGCCGCAGGCACACAGGACCCAGCTGGCTGCAGCCACAGGGGACCATGGGCGGGTGGTTCGCCCAGGCTGCAGCCACAGGCACTGGCACCCAGGACTGCAGGGCAGACAGCTTGTCCCTCTCCAGGGCCACAGTCTGGCTGGTCCCCATTCCTCTCTCATGAGCTCATTTGTGCCTGGCTGGTCCCCATTCCTCTCTCCCCAGTGTTGAGTGTCTGAACAGTTCTGGCTCAAGGGCATGAGGACCATTTACATATTAGCTCTTTATTATATAGGATTGGGGGGAAAAAAACACAAATTACAAACAAATGAACTCTAACTAGTGAAATGCATTCTGAAATATTTAGAGGTAGGTGTGCAAATGACTGCAACTTACTTTGGAATGCATTAACAATGACAGATTGTCCGGTCCTTGTATCTCAGTGGTTGAATGTCAACCTATGAACCAGGAGGTCATGGTTTGATTCCCCGTCAGGGCACATGCCTGGGGGCTGCAGGAGACAGCCAACCAATGATTCTCTCTCATCGATGTTTCTCTCTCTCCCTCTCCCGTCCTCTCTGAAGTCAATAAAAACACATCAAATTTAAAAAATAAGATAGTAGTAAGATGGATATAGGGATGGAAAGATGTGTGATAAATATGTTAAAATGTAAGTGATAGACTCCAGGTGGTACAGGTATTCACTGTAAAATTCTTTCAATTTAATATATGTTTGAAGGTTTTCATGATAAAATGTTGGAGAGGGGAAAATCAGTGTTTAATTTTACAAAAAAAGTACACATGGCTGCCTTTAATTTTCAACCTCATGAACATCTCCAGTACTTCTCTAAATGCATTAACT